ACGAGCACCTGTGCCTCGAATACCGTTTCCCAAGTCCCCCCTCTCTCCGCGGACACGGCCACCGAGTGCTCCCCCATCCGACACGCTTTCCCGTCCTAGGTCATCTTCAGCGCAAACCTGCTAAGAGAGCCACGAGCCACGACGCTTCCGACCACTCAATCACCATTCCAACGCCTCGCCCAGACTTGCTCCTACCTGCGCCAGACGCCCCTCACACCCGCCCGCTACTCATCATGGCTGAATTCGTGCGCGCCCAGATTTTTGGCACGACGTTTGAGATTACCAGCAGGTGCGGCGATACCCCGCCCTGCGCCGCTGGCCTAGTACTGACAGTTGCAAAGGTACACTGACCTGCAGCCCGTGGGCATGGGGGCCTTTGGCCTTGTATGGTACGTCTCCCTCTCAGCCTCGAGACCCCGCTGGGGCACTAACAGGTGCCCAGTTCGGCCAAGGACCAGCTTACCAGCCAGGCGGTGGCTATCAAGAAGATTATGAAGCCATTCAGCACCCCCGTCTTGTCCAAGCGCACCTACCGCGAACTCAAGCTCCTCAAGCATCTCCGACACGAGAATGTGCGCATCCCTCTCTTGGCCCCACTGAGGGAGTATCTGACGCGGGGCAGATCATTAGTTTGAGCGACATCTTCATTTCGCCATTAGAGGACATGTAAGCCTACAGTCCTCTGACGCAACCATCTCCCATCACCGGCTGACCCAAGTAGTTACTTCGTCACCGAGCTGCTCGGAACCGATCTCCACCGTCTGCTCACTTCCAGACCGCTGGAGAAGCAGTTTATCCAATACTTTCTCTACCAGATTTTGGTGCGTAGCAACCTTGCCGAATTCAGGAAACAGCCGCTGATCTCGAGCAGCGTGGATTGAAATACGTCCACTCTGCTGGTGTCGTACATCGTGATTTGAAGCCTAGCAACATTCTCGTCAATGAGAACTGTGATCTCAAGATCTGCGACTTTGGTCTGGCCCGTATACAAGACCCCCAGATGACTGGATACGTCTCCACTCGATACTACCGCGCCCCGGAGATTATGCTTACATGGCAAAAATACGACGTCGAAGTGGATATCTGGAGTGCGGGCTGTATCTTTGCGGAGATGCTCGAGGGCAAGCCGCTGTTCCCCGGAAAGGACCACGTGAATCAGTTTTCCATCATCACTGAGCTGCTCGGTACTCCGCCTGACGATGTTATCCAAACCATCTGCAGCGAGAATGTAAGACAGCCGTGCGAAATACCTCTGGATTATGCTGACTTGTCAAGACGCTGCGATTCGTCCAATCCCTCCCCAAGCGCGAACGCATACCGCTTGCGAACAAGTTCAAGAACGCGGAGCCACAAAGTAGGAGCCGTCAGATGATAGCCAGACACACATCCACTCACAAGACATAGCCGTCGACCTGTTGGAGAACATGCTGGTCTTCGACCCCAAGAAGCGCGTACGA